TAATTCTAGNACAATCTAGTGTTATTGGGAGTAGGATTTTTAACAGTCTTACTTATTAAACACAACTTTCACGATCTTAAGTATATACATGAGATTCTCAAAATTCTTACCATATAATTCTTTGATAGATTTATGAAATATACAAAACTCTTTCAAAACTTAACAAAACTCTCTACAAATTTAACAAATCTTTAAAAAATTTAAATCAACAAACTCTATCTAAATGCTACTCCCAATAACTCCCTTAGTTTAATTCAGCATACGTATATTTTTGGTATGATTTGGTTTTCGCAATTACGAAAAAAGTTTTAAAGAATGGAACAAATGGTTAACCTTTGACCTTTCGTTATTTTCAAAGTTAATCGGGAGATTTATTAACCGACTATGATTAAAGTATTCAACCCATTTGAAAAATGGGACTGGTTGGATCAATAAAATAATTTCAATCCATTCTGACAACCCTAGTCGGAAAAGGGTCAAATACCTGTTGTATACCGTTGAATTTGTCGTAAGTAAGGTAGTCGTTGCTGACGAGACTAAAGAAAGCGACAGAAGAGTTGAGATCGGCCGACGAATAAACTTTTTTCCAAAGGAGTTGTTCAAAGAAATTGATATGCATACTCGTGTTTGGGACTTTGAACATTGTCTCAAACACTCCGGCTCCACCGTATGCGAAATTGATTCCTTTTTTCTCAACTTGTCTGGGTCGTGCGTATCTCCTCAATTTGTATGGAACTGGCGTTCTAAATCCAAGATATTTTGCTACATGATATAATACCATTCATACTAAAAAGAATTATTATTTTCTGCATTACAGATTTATGCATATGAGAATTGTGCATAAGAGCATCTCCAATGCGGACAAACCCATGAGTTTCTTATCAATATAAAACTAATATTTTTAATATTTTTAGTTGGAGAAACTATACATGTCAAACGGGCTAGTCCGGCCCGGCCTGGCCCAAAACCCGTAAAGTCCGCCTATATATAAGCCCGGCCCGAAAAATATTCGGCCTATTTTTCAAAGCCCGGCCCGGCCTGAACAGGATTACAGGGCTTTATGGGATTTTTTGT